GTGCGTGCATAAGCATACCCCTTCCCTTCAAAAAAGCCCTAAAAATTGGTTGGTGGTAGCTTTGAGGTCCGGATTTTAGATCATTCCAGATATTGGATGTCCGGATCTCGGACTTTGTACTGTATATATATATATATATACATCTTTCAAAATATAACTTACCAGTATGGATTCACTCTTTTAAAATAATTGTACTTTAATTAACTTAGGAGATAATATAATCAATTAATCAATTTGTTTAAGAAATAAAAATATATATATAGTAAAAAATGTATACTTTCACTATTCAAGTATTCACTGTGACAAGTATTTTATTTGTCACATAACAGGCCTCTGTGAAAGGGGCTTCTCTGTAAATAAAGCAATTGAAATTGAAAATTTAAGTTACTCATCATACATTTTTTCAACGCCCGGTTTGATTACATAAAATTTCTGGAGGTGTTCTTAATATCGAAATTAATAAAGAATGAGATCAGCAGCAGCTCTGCAAGTAGTGGAGTTCGTTATTTAAAGAAATTCAGTATTAGAGAACAAAAATCTTTAACTAAATCTGAAAATTCAAAGAGGAAAAGAAATATTATTGAGGAAGAATTGATTGTATAAAGCAGAAGAAAAAATTTCTTCAAAGGACATTAAAGATATAATGAAGACGTAGATGCTTTAGCAGATGAAGCTAAGACCAGCAGGAACATTGATTTTTTTATCAAAGCAAATGAACTTAGAAGAATAGTTTAAGAAAAGGAAATAGACATAAATAAATAAGAGTTAAAATAGCTGAAAAGATTTCAGATTTAAAAAAAGCACAAATGTTTTGTATCTTTTATTTATTGTACAGTTTAGTATCTAGATCTTTCAAAAAACCAAGGAAATAAATTGTATGGTTAAATCAATTAATTATTTAATCTGCAAAATATTCTTACATTGTGATTATAATAGTAGTTGACTGTGTTTAAATAATATCAAATAAGTTAAATAATAATCATGTAAATCTCTAAAATAGTGACTGTTTATAGTGTAAAATACACTTATACATGTTTTTCAAGAAATTATGTTCCTAATTAATGTTATCTACTTCATAACTTGTAGGGAGTTAGTTTAATTTTCAAAATTGTTTTATGGTAAGTATTAAATTGAATTTAATAATAGTGCATAATACACACTTCTGTTAGTTCCTTAAAATGAAATTACAAGCATGAAATGGGTTGTATGGATAATTGCTTTATTCTATTCATTTTTTTGTTTGCTGATAGGTCCTTAATTTTTTTTTTTTTTTGATGGTCCTTAAAAGTCCTTAATTTTCATGTAAGGAAATGTGTACGAACCCTGTCATGTGCTATTTGTTTAACTTTTGTTTGAGTAAACCTTCAACTGCATACACACACACACACATCCAAAAAATCATATTGAGTTTGAAATAATATCAAGATATGCATTGCTGTTCTATAAAACGGCGTTCCCTATTCTTTGGTCTTCAAAGCATGCTGTTGTGGTTCTCGTATACTTCCAAAAAAGAGAAAAAGTAATAAGATATGTATTGCAGTTCTATAAGACGGCATTCCCTATTCATTGGTCCTCAAAGTATGTCGTCGTGGTTCTTGTGTACTTCCAAAAAAAGACAAAAAGTAATATTGAAATTAACTACACGTACTGCACTATAGTTGAAAATCTCAGTTGGGAAAATTACAAATGAGAGTCATCTCTTGTGCTTTCATGCAAGATTGATATCTTATGAAATCTATTACCAGTTACCCTATCTACAGACTTCCTATTGTAGTCACACCAATAAAAGACAAATTTAAAGCACTAGAAGTATGGTGCTTCTTGCCATCATACATATGAACATCAACAGCTGTGTGAGAATGAGCTAGCTTATCCATGTCATTAATGTGAACACCAACATTTATTTAAATTTTAGTTGATAAGATTATCTAAACTCTGGTAGCCAAATCTTGTTAAAAGCAGATATAAATTATCTTATATTAACTTAATTACTAACACTGATATAAAATTAAATTAATTTAAATTAATTGTGTTTTAAAAATATAAGTACACTAGTGCTAAGCAAGTGCTTTTTAATGAAAAAGGATAAGGTGCTCAGTGGACCATTCTAATTTATAAAAATGGTCCCTGCTTGCAAAACATTTGAAAGACTGCTGTAAGCTGAATGATTACTTCTCTATGCATTGTTATTTATGTTGTGGTGTAATTATAGAGTTGTGATGTAAGTCTTGTAATAGTTGCCATTATTTAAGATTCTTATGACTGAAAATTAGACTAACTAAAGTGAATGTTTAAAAAAAAAAAAAAAAAAACTATGAGTAGCTTGAATGTTAAGTGTTTTTTTTTTAAAGCATTTTTGCAGTTTTTGATATGATGATGATTGAGGAAGATAACAGCTATGAGTAGACCACTTTTAATTAATTTTATTTATTTATTTTTAAGTATTAACAATTTTTGAACAATTTTTGATTTGCCAATGACCAGAAAAGTTATTTTACAGTTTTACAATGCATTTGAATATGGATGTGCATTATAAAAAATACAAGCAAAAGAAAAGTGCAGATTCTGACAACTTTTTCACTGGCTCGTGAATATATTTTGTAACAGCACTATGACTGATTTACCATTTGGCAGAGAATTTGGCATCAGTTAAGTGGTGCAAGCAACAACTCAAACTTTTCAAAAATATGACTGAAAAAGATAAGAGCTGTGAGAAAACCATGTATGAATGAATTTTCTTTAAAAAAAGAATTTTAACAATTTTTGATTTACGAGGAAGATGCTACATCATTCTTTCAAGAAAGAGGTATTTTACTTCATTTCTGACAAATCTGGCTTTAATGATGTTACTGTGATGAAAGCTATGTAAATTCAAAATTACTGATATTTTAATTTCAAAGTTATCATAAAGGTCATTTTGTAGGCCAGTGATTTAGAACTGACAATCCCCAAAGTAGTTTCACATGACCTGCAAATACGTTTTAGTTATGTATTTGTTGTTACTGTGTGTGTTGCAAAGATTTTAAGATTTTAATTATATCAAGTCCCAGTTTACATTTTTATCATCATTTAAAAACTAACATGAATAGTGCATTATAAACTCTATAAATGGAGCTAATTATTTTAAAGTGTGATATAAATCTTATTCAAATATTTTAAGATCTGTTTCATTCTATTCCATGATGTTTGTTTCATTAACTTTTACTCGTACTTATCCAAAAAATAAGTATGCACCGTTACAAATTTTTACATGGAGTAAAATCACTTTTTTGGGAATACATTTATAGGTGAACAGATTTTTTTCATAGTTGAAAAATTAAAGATAAAAGTACCTGATTGAGCAGTGAGCAATCAGGTACTTTTGTCTTTTGTTAATTTTTACGATATTTGTAAACCCACATTAAAAACTAACTTTTAAACCCTTGAAAGATAACAGGAATAAATTAATGAAAATGTAAATAATATAATATCATTTTATGAGAAAATTTTTTCTCAAAAGATGCCATGCAAAGTTTATTTAAAGATGCCAATAGTTTTTCCCCTCACAAATTCCATTTTGGAAATAATGCTAGTCACATGAACATTGCCTGAAGGCATGTGCTACTACAGAACTGTGTTTTCAGATTTTTAGTCCAAAGAGAAGGTAATGCAAATAATTAAAATTCATTCATTCACTTTTCTTCCAAATGTTTCTATGTGGCAAATACTGTGTTTTAAACATGATTTACAAATAATAAATGTGGGAAAATGCTAATTCTGAGAATAATAAATGCATAAATAACTAACAATATTTATCATATTCTTGCATGTGTAAGCCGTGCTCTTAATTTTTATCTCTTAATTAAAGAAAAAACTCCTGAAGTATAAGCCATAGATAACTCATCTATCACTTGTGATATTTTATTTTTCATTTTGGATGTGTGAAAGCAGTAAAATGAAAACCATGCTTATCACATATTGAGGCAAAACTTTATTATCCTTCAAAAAGGAATATGCTTCTGTGTTGGCATCTCTTATACACTGTCGGTGCTGCTAGCATAATTGCTTGCACTACTGGTATCACTATCGCTGCTGCCAGTATCCCACAGCATGCCACTCTCAGATGTGTCTAGAGCAGCACTTTTTGAACTTTTTTTTATCCATAACCCTTTTGTATCACTGAGATTCTTCTGCGACTCCATCTATTAAATATGGAATAAAGATATAAGAATAGATATTTTCTTATAATTTTTTTTTTTTTTTTTTTTTTGGGATAAGCAAACATATATATACACACGAAAAGCCACACAGGGAAATTATACTGCATAGCCACATTTTTGTGCTGCATAGCAAATTGGTAACTTTTAAAAGAATGAATAATAAGTAACATCAAAGGAGAGCTTAGAAGTTAAGCCTCCAGGAACCTAGTTCTAATTATTTGGACATGCAAGAAACATGGCCGATTTTCATTTGCTTTATTGTGGGGGGGGGAAAGAGAGGGAGGTTTATACATGAAAGAATACCTAATGTTTAACTTCATTCTCTGCCTGACAATACTGTTGATAAATGGTGAATTTGTGTTTTAAGGTATTGTACATTTTCAATTGTACTGTTTCATTAAATTTTTTTACTAATCATTTTTCAACTTAATTGCAAATATTAATTTTTTAAAAATTTACATGCAGATAAGTTTTTACCAAGTTATGAAGGTTTTTTATGTTTTGATATGAAAATAAGGGTTACCATATTTGAGCTCCCATAGAAATTTTGAGATCTTTTGTTACAACGCTTATCATTTTTTTAAGTAATTAAAAATCTGTAATAAATATTCTAAATGTTTTCTTCTTAGCCACATGAAACTTTTGAAGTAATTTATTGTAAACAGGTGTTAATTGTGAATATTTCTCTGAACATTCTCGAAGCTTTGAACCTTTTTTTAATATTTCAAATAAAGTTTTTAATATGATATTTAATATGATTTTACATATATTTAAATCTCAATTTATATATTTTCTTAATAGCTGCAGCTGGAAGGCAGGAAGTAATTCAGCCACCACCTCTGTCATATAAAAAATGGGGATTTCATGAACATGATAAACTTTACGATTGTGAAGCAGCCGGTAATAAAAGTTTTTTTTAAAAAAATTTGTTGTTGATGTAATATAAAAGCTTTTCATTATTTTAATTATTTTCAAAAATATTTTAGTGCAGTTTTTAGTCATTAGAATTTGAAGATTATTGATATTGTGAAAAACTGTGAAGTTAAATAATTTCCAAAATTAAACTTAAAAATTATATCAAAGGCACAAAAGGTTTCAAAAGTTATAACTTATGCAATAATTCATATTAAACTGATAAACATATTTTACCCATTATACTTTTAATGGTATAACAACCTGAAAGGTACGAGCCAGTTTTCCCTTAGAAAGCCCTCTCTGATGGCATTCCCAGCAAGCAGGCAGCCAGCCCTCATGCGTTTTTTCATACTTAAAGAACTAAATACCTGAAACCATTTTTGTATTACTGGAGAATTTCTTAGAAATAATGCATATTTTCTTTTTTGTGTGTGTGCTTTATGGTATACATTAGACCAGCGATTCTTCCAGTGGTATGTATGTAAAGAAAAAGTATTTTTAACTATTAAATTAAAAAAATTAAATGCCCCAACATTCTGTATAAGTTTTTTCTCTAACACTCATAAATTTATGCAATCTGAGCTTTGTTCAAGGTCAATCAATAGCTGCTCATAGACTTTAGCAAAATAATCCGTTTTTTATTTTCATAAATATTTAGCCATAGACATAACAATGATGATAACATAAATGATGTTTTTAAAAGCGGAAATGGTAATGGGTGTTGTATTGAGTAGGAAATAAAATTAAGTTCCTATAAAAAGATATTAGGATCTCATTAATTCTTTTTAGAGTTGATCAATTTATTAGCATGTCTACACTTTATGTTGCCACATTTTCAGGCTCATATTGCTTTATTTTCAATTAGAATCATTTTGTTTTCAATTTGATCTTTCTAAACAGCAAATATTTTGCAATATTGTTCCTTTGTATTTCCCACTTTTCTACCCGATTTTAGAATATTGTCGTTTGTCTTTGAAGAACTCTTAATATACTATGCATTTAAATATTTGCAAAAAAATAATAAATCAAACCTTGATTTTTCAAAATGGAAAAATGGCTACGATTGACTAGGTTAAAAAGTGATGATTTGCAGGACAATGTACTAGCACTAAGAATATTGAAAAGAAAAAGGTACTTTTTGGTTTCACCGCCGCAAATCTCACCAAGCAGACTTTAATGGCAACAACACACAGTATACACATAAAAATTTTTAACAAATGTTAGTTCTAAAAATTTTTTATTTTGAAGGCATTAAACATTTTAATAGCATTTAAAATTTTACAAAAAGACAATAAATAAAGACGATAAATTTGTAAAAAGACATTAATTTAAGAATTTACTATGCTTTCATGCTACAGCATCCTGATTCAGCGGTTCATATTACATATCAAGCGATCTCATCTCTCATAAACTACGCTACAAAAATCTAATTCTCTCAGTAATTATCTACATTAATTTCAAGTTAAATCTTAATATAGAATTGGAGTTTAAATGAAAGAATCATTTTAATTCGTACAAATAGCTTACTCAGAAATTATGTAAAACTGCAGTACTTTTACTTCGCTAGTGCATTCTCATTAGAATTGATGAATTTAACCCTTTACTTTGCTTTTTCTATATTTTCGCGTGAGCGGTGTGATTGCATCCTAATTAACTTAATTACCACAAATGGCCTTAGGGTATAAAATTTAACTATCTGGTAAAAATTCTATGTTATTGTATAACAATATTGAAAGAAACAAGCAATCTGATAAGAAATTATTGTGACTTGTTTTGAAAATGAGGCATAAAAGGTTACCAGCAAGGATATTCTGTTTGGCATCGGTTGCACCATTTTTTGGCGACTTTTTTTGCCTGCACTGGCAAAATGGAAAAGTACCAAGAAGAATTGTTTACACAAAATATAATGAAAGTTATTTATCATTTGGGTTTACTTGGAATGGAGATGAAATGGACTCTCACCTCGATGAGTTGTTTGAGGTGAACTATTATCCAACCCATGTATGAAACCACCGTTTCTTAAAAGACAATTTGAATCTTAGCACGCCAGTTTAAAGGATAAATCTGAATAATATTTTAAGAGGAAATTATTGAAGTTAAAAAATAGTGAACAAGTAATGAAAGGTTTTATTACTTCAAGTGGAAAAGCTTTCAATATTTACCTAGTAAGCCCAAGAATTGCCAAGACTAGGCAGGCTCAGACTGTTAGAGAAAACCTAATATTACCAGCAGCTAAAGATATTGTTTTAACATTGTTCAATGAAAAGCGGCTAATGAATGTAATAATATTCCATTATCAAATGATACAGTAAATCGACAAATTCATGAAATGGCAAATTCCATAAAAGAGACACTTATTCAAAAAATAAAACACGGTGAGTATTTTGCAGTGCAGTTTGGATGAAAATACTGATATAATAAATAAATAAATAAAATCAATTCCTACTTAGGTCAACAAAGAACAATTTTATTTTAGTTACTTTTTATTAACGTTATTAAAATTTTTTTGTTTCTAATTTATGAAACTGATGGTGGTCTATAATTTCTCATTCTATTCATCTCTTGTAATGCTTTATTATTGCAAGGAACCTTTCCAGTGAGTTTCGAGCAGTCCAGTTCTTCAATTAGTATTACATCTAATGATTTCACATGACTCAAGACTGACCTGCTGCGAAAAGTTTTGTCCTAGATATATTACTGCATAATCTACAGTGCTATTTATTTATTTTAATAAGCAAGGGACATTTTAAATGGTTATATTTTAAACATATATTATTATCAGGTTAACATGGAAATATGGGGAGAATTTTCGCTACATTATGGAACATTACATCTGCTTTATCCAACTCTGTAAGACTAGAATTCTTTAGTTCCATACACTTTAAAAATCTTTAGAAATGTGTCTTACTGTTGCCACTTACTTATCTTGTTAAATGTTACAATCCCATTTATCACCTTATCTTGTTAAATATTACAATGCCATTTATCACAGTCATGTACTATTATTTATAAGTTGTTATAAAATTAATTTTTACAGAACATGAGAATTCTTAATAAACGTCTTGTAATATGCTTAAAAAAAAGCATATCTTTAGTTCCGATAAACAGGAATAAATAAGTAGTAATTGACTTTAAAATGTGAAAAAACTGTATTAACACCAAATGTCATCCAGTACAAGTTAAAACAAATGTATTCGAGCTTATTTAAATGTATTTTAGTGGATGAATAAAAGGTATTTTATTAACGATTGAAAATTTGAACAAGGTATAGGGAGAGTGTGAGCTAATAGTGGGAATTTAATAAGACAAGACATAAAGAAATTGATCTGTCTTAAACAGGCCCAAATTTTGTACTAAATTTTAGAATTAAAGTATTGAAACTTAAATTTTGATAATTAAAATGGTAACCAATTTTTAATCTAATATTTTTTATATGTGTATATTTAATACAAATAGCCAATAGGTTGTGCAAATGGAAATACAGTACAAAGTCCATAATCCGGACTCGTCGGGACTTCAGCGATTCCGGATTAAGGGATATATCATCAATTTAAATCTGGTAGATGGCAGCAGAAATTATACAATTAAAAATATGAAACTGTACTATGAAATAAAGAGCAATTATGATCTAAGGGTATCAAAATTTATAAAAAGCTAATATTATTTGTTAGTTATTAAACATTTTTTCAATGTAAGTTGTTTAAGTTGCCTCATTTTTTGTGCTAACGTCATGCATAACTTAACGTCCATGCGTAGCTTAAACGTGCATATGTAAAGCGTAAAAAAAAAGTTTGTGGCTTTGAGGCGCTTATAGATCATTCCGGATAATGGACATCCGGATTACAGACTTTGTACTATATATATATATATACAGTCAAAAGTCGTTAATCCGGACTCGTCGGACTTCGGCGATTCCGGATTATCGTTTTTCCGGATATAGATCATCAGTTTAAATCTTGTAGATGGCATGCAGAAATTCTAAAATTAAAAATATGAACCGTAATTTATGAAATAAAGAACATTATGATCTAAAGGTATCAAATTGCAAAAAGAAAAAGCTTAATATTATTTGTTTACTTTCTAAACATTTCTTTCAATGTAAGTTGTTTAAGTTTTGCTTCGTTTCATGTGATTAATACTTTCTCTTTATTCTATTAAACAGACATAATTTCTTGTTAGTTACAAAGTTCCCTGTTCAAGTCCTATAATGCTTGTGTCAAGAACACCGACTAATTGTCAATCGAAATTTTTCGTTTTCAATAACCTCTGTCTTTCTTTTCTTCACTATCGGAAGCGAATTATAATGACGAGAAACTTGATTTAAATCATATCAAAGACGGAGCATATCGAGATGAAATACTACATTTGGTAGGAATTATAAGCCAAATAAAATAAAACATCTGCGCTGAAGATAAGGATAGTGCTGAAAACTCAACTTCATTACGCGCCCGCCGTGCGTTCCCCCCGCCGAGCAGCGTAAATTGTAAACGATTTCGGATTTCAAACATACTTCCTTTAGATCCTTTACATAAAAATATATATCGGAAATTCATTTGATATAATCGAAAGTTAAGCTTACTTTTATAAAATTGCTCTTAGTCTGCAAAAAATAAAGCGGATCCAATTCGAAATTAAGGAACAACGCAATCATAAAATTAACTGAATAGATAATTAGATAATTTAGCTTATACGTCTATTATACATAAAACGCGTACGCAAAACTTATCTGCACTTGCGCACACTCATATGCGAGTCGTAAAGGTCTTACACGCACGCGTATGCCTATGCCTGTGTCCAACGCGGCGCATGCGAAAAGTTTTTAGTTTTGGTCCGGATTATAGATCATCCGAATTATGGGTGTCCGAATTAACGACTTTGACTGTATATATATTTCTATAGAAATAAAAATAACCATTGTACCATTGTAAATGTGGTGGTACTAAAGTTTTTAAATTTTTGTTTAGATGGTACATGTTAGTCAAAAGGTTGAGAACTGCTGCATTAGACATCAGACTGTTTCTGAGAGGAACATTCAATAAAATTTTAAGGAAGTAACAAATTCAACATATTTTATGTAAATAAAATTTAAAATTACTCCAGTAATCAATCTGTAAAACTGTTCATTCTCATTCTTGGAAATATTAAGTGTCTCTGTTGGTGTGGTGATCAGGTTGTTCAAATTCCTTAGAAGACATGAAGACATGCATGTTTGTTAGTGTCTTTATGGACCATTCCGGATCCATAAAGACATGGCATTGGGCATTTAAAATACTGTTGAATTGAAAGTTTTCTCGAAGGTTGGTGGTAGAAGAAGAAAGTTAGGAAACCAAGAACATGTTCTACTTTATTATTGTGATGAAAGTTCTAGATCCAAGGAAGAATATCTCTGTATGTCATGATTTCCAAAACTTTTATTATTTCTGTGAATATTGCTTCAAAGTTCTAGATGTTAAAAAGATTGGCCCCATAATTTTGTAGAAATGTGTGACTTTTTGCTTATTTTCCTTGATGTTTTACATTTCAAAACTAAAAGCATTTTAAGACCCATAAAAGTACACCAAATATAATCTAACAAGTAACTTAATTTGTGTAAAAGAGTGGATGACCTAGTACATGCTCTGTCTCACTTCTATATAGCACTGGTTGTAATAATAACCAAGCTACATTTAAACAAAGTATTTCTTGTGAACTAAACCTGAAGATCTTTATTTTCCACCATAAGACATCTGAAAATTATTTTTACCTTTTATTTATTATACCTTTTACTACAATCATTACTAAAATTAAGGTATATGGTATTTCTCCTGCCTTCTTAGCGAGCCTTCGTGATGTAGTGGTCAGCACACTCAGCACGTAATTGAGAGGTCTGTGGTTCGATTCCCAGTGAAGGCATAGCATATTTTTCATCTTTTCTGCTTCCAAAAAAAGTACCTAATGTCTCTACAAAGGAAACAGAAATTAATGACCCTGCTCATAAAATGTTTTCTTTACTCTAATTTTTCAAGTATAATACTTATACAACTTTTCCTCATTACTAAAATACTTCAATCTGTATTTCCTTTTATTGGCTGCTAACTTTTCAATTATGATTGGATCTGAAAAATCTTCTCCACCATCTTTTTTTATATTCAAAAAGTAGTATTCATGAAGGAAATTTGAATGAAAGGTAAATTTAATAAATAAACAGATAATTGAAAATCAAAATAGCTGCATCATATTTTTAACATGGTAAGCGGGTATTATTATTTATATCCTTATCTTCTAACTAATTAATCAAGGTAAAACAAAATTGCTTACCTTGTTCCAATGGGTTCTGCCAGGGCCACAGGGCTGAAGTTCCTCTGTGAATATCTGCAAAATCTTGAGGGGAAATCCATAATATAAACTTTCTTAACACAACATATTAATGAAGATGCAAACGGTTACAGAATATTTACATAATGAAAAGGTTTAAATGTTCCCATGACGCAGCGTGCAACTTCTCAGTTCCGATTCTCGTGATCTCTAAGCGAGAGTTCAGAGTCGAGATGACGTCAATCAGCCATCGGATCTCAGCAAGAGTTGAGTTGCAACATCCTCCCCGGAAGGACAATTGCTGAATTGTCCTTTTACATTCCAGCTCCACCGGATATAGTAATTCACTCGTCTTTTAATCGTATGTCCCATTGGGCAAGCGACAGCACAGGCTTCACCTTGCCATCTCTTCCAGAAAGATTTCCATTATGATGCCCATCATCCACATAGCCGTGGAATTTTATCTTCATGCTCTAATACAATAGTTCCTTTCTTCAACAGGTCCTGTTTTGCCAGTTTGGAATGATGAGCAGATTTTAAATTGATCAAATAATCTGTCTCCATTTTCGCCAGATTTTTCTACCAGTATCTGTTGATGTCTAAATTGACATGTAAGACTCTCCTTTGTTGAAGTTAATTTAGAGCTTCCTTGTGGCAATGATAGTAATCGTCTTCCTATTAAGAAGTGACCAGGGGGTCAAAGATTCTGGTTCTCCTATATCCGAGTATGTAAATTTAAAGGTCTGGATTCAATATAGCTTCCACTTCTGTTATGACTGTCTCTAATTCCCTGAACGTTAAGGATGATTTGCCTAGGATTCTTTTCAAAACAGCTTTCAGAGACTGAACCATACGCTCCCAAAAGCCTTCCCACCATGCCGCCCTCTCAACTATAAATTTCGATTTGATTCCTTGCTTAGAGAATTCGTCTTGAACTTTATTGCTTTTCATCACCTTGTTCAATAGTTCTAATTCTTTTTTCGCTCTTTTAAAGGTTTTGGCATTATCGATGTACACTATTCGGCACAAACCTCTTCTCGTTATGAACCGTCTAAATGCAAGCAAAAATTTTTCTGTGGAAAGGTCAGCCGTAAGTTCTAAGTGCACGGCTCTAGTTACAGCACAGGTAAACAGTAAAATGTATGTCTCAGATAATTCTCTTCCACTTTTCACGTACAGTGGACCTGCATAATCTATCTCGGAGTTCTCAAATGGAAAGGCTTCTCGGCATCTGTCTGGTGGGAGAGGTGCCATATTTGCATGACAGGTTTAGTTCGAATATTTTGCAGACATTGCAATTGTACTGAACCCTTTTAATTTTCCTATGAGCCTTCATCAACAAAAATTTATCTCTTATCTGATTTAAAGTATCTGCTATTCCTCCGTGCCCTACCACCTGATGACTGTAAAGAATAATTAGATCTTTGTCGAGCAACACAATTGGATGTGCTTGTTTGTAATCCAAATATGAATTTTCTAATCGTCCACCAACACGAATTACACCACTTTCATCTACAAATGGACTGAGGGACTTCAGTTTTGATTCTGAACTTAAATCCTCGTTGTTCTTCAATATCCGTATTTCATTTGTGAAATTTCGCTCCTGAACACGTTTGATCCAATAAGTTTCTGCCATTTCCAATTCGGTAACCTGCAATCATCCTGATAATTTTGAGGTATTTTTAAACATTGTTGATGAACCTTAAGACCACGCAGTAATTCGGTAAATTCGGTGTAAATTGCTGTAATTTGGGGTTTTAAATAAATTTCGGAAGGTTCGGTAACCATGCGTTTACGAAAACTTCCTTCGCTGTTTTTCTTAGTTCCTTGTTGCATTCTTCAATGTTCTTTGTGGAACATAAATTCGGTTTTGGCCAGTGTTCCATTTCTTCCTTTAACCAGGTGGGCTCTTCCCACCATATGTTATTCTGCTTCAGATGTTTGACATTTTCACCTCTAGTTAGCAAATCAGCTGGATTGTGTTCACCAGGCGTATATCTCCAGTTCAAGACATCTGAATTCTTCTGTATTTTCTTCACAAACCTCTTCTCGCTATGAACCGTCTAAATGCAAGCAAAAATTTTTCTGTGGAAAGGTCAGCCGTAAGTTCTAAGTGCACGGCTCTAGTTACAGCACAGGTAAACAGTAAAACGTATGTCTTAGATAATTCTCTTCCACTTTTCTCGCTGAACTGTCTAAATGCAAGCAAAAATTGTTTCTGTGGAAGGTCGCCTAGTTCTAAGTGCACGGCTCTAGTTACAGCACAGGTAAACAGTAAAACGATGTCTTAGATATTCTCTCCACTTTCAGTACAGTGACCGCGTAATCTATCCCGAGTTCTCAAATGGAAGGCTTCTCGGCATCTTCTGGTGGGAGAGGTGCCATATTTGCATGAAGGTTTAGTTCGCAATATTTTGCAGACATTGCAATTGTACTGACACTTTAATTTTAACTTTAACTGACACTTTTAACTTTAACGAATGGCTTCCATCTTTTCACATCACTTCTAATCCAGTGTAATGTATACTAGAATCAGTCACATATACAATCAATCATGTCCCGAAGTTTTCTTTGATATATTTTGACAGGCAGAGCCTATCAAGCACCCATCAATTCCAATCTGGGAAGTGAATTTTTAAGGGTGCTACTCGTGATTTTGATGTAATGAAACGTGTATGAATGACTCCATTTTTCGAATAACGAAAATACAGAACAGCCCCATAGGCCTTCGACTCGCATCGTGAAACAGTAAACTGTAAACATCCTTTATATCCCTTTTCCCAGCACCTGCAAACTGATGTCCGGTATTTCCAACTAGAAATATGAGCTAATTCAACACCAGCTTTGCTAATTCTTTCTGGATTTTTGGTATTTCAGTGTCCCATGCTATCTTGTTTCCCATAAATCTTGTAATAAAATTCTAGCTCGAATGCTGTAGGATTTAAAAACCAGTGGATCAAAGAAATGTCCTACAAATCTCAAGATTTCTCTTTATTTATGTTATCTATCTTTTTGGCATCTTTTACCAAACTTAATTTCTATCAAAAATGTATCATTTGACCTATTCCATGTACCAACTTAAGCAAGTCGAATCATGTGAAAAATCCTCATTCCATACCCTTTGAAAATTCCGTTGTCATTCGTTTCCACTTCCTCATGTAAATCCACCTTCTTTCAGTATGCGTTTAAATGTTTCGATTCCTCGAATGCTTCTGATTCTTCATCTGCTCCGCAATTAAGTCATCACATACATTTTCAGTTAGCATGGAAAATACTT